ATACTATGGCCTTAATTTTCAATAAAGCATATATACACACATATATACATAGATTTCTCATATATGTGAATGTATGTATGTGTATATATATATGATATAGGCATAAAGGTCATGAAATATATACACCACGTTGTCAGCAGTTTTACACTCAGGAAAAAAGGGGAAGGGATGTAGGGGCCTTTCGTTACCATCACAGTTCTCTTTTCAGTATTTCAGTAAAGTATACTTGGAATTTAAAAGTTTATTTAGTCCGAAGTAAAATGGACGATGCCTCCACAAGACAGAATGCTATACTGGTCATTAAAAATCATGCCAGGGGAGATAGAATATTGTAGAAAAACGTGTAATAAGCCAAATGGAAAATGGAGGTCTCCACACAGTTAACAGGCACAGAGTTCTTGCTGGTTTTTATGACAGAGGTAATACACACTGATGAAAAGAACAGAAAATAGATGTTAAAGTGTTAATTACTATCTCTGAGTAGTGGGACCAGGATAGACAGTTTTGTCCCTTTTTTCAGGCTCTTTTATTAAATACACATTATTTTTCATCTGAAAAAAGCATTTTTAGATGTCTAGTAAAACACATTGATAAAAATGCATGAGTAATTACCGAAACAAATAACTAGGAGACAACGCGGCAGCGTCACACAACGTAGAACGGGCGATCCTGAATAAAACCATGCACTTACATAAGGACCCACAGAGTGAGAGCACCTGCTGTAACAGGGCGTGGCCCCCTTCTACTTGTCAGTTGTGTCTTCTGGGCTGAGGCAGTTCTGAGCACGGCCAGTGTCAATGCTAGTATTTGGATGGATGCCACTCGAGGTGAGGGCACCTGAAAGCCGAGAGGAAGAACAGAAATCATCCTCTGCTTTTTCTGTCTTGTTTCTTTGTTACTTTTAAAGAGAGGCGTAAATAAGATAGACAATCTTCCCTACTGAAATTTCAGTAATGAAATCGTTTTTAAAGTGTTCACAACTTTTATTCTGTCTATAACTGTCTTTTCAAAAATGCATCATATTTATTAAATGTTAATTAACTCAGTTAATTAACTACCTGTTGAAACCTATTAAAGAACATGAAATGCACTATGTAAAAGCACCACGCCTGTAGTGACTATCTTAGCTTTCTTGACAGCAGTGCAGTCAGCCCCCACCATTCCGTGGCCCTGAGCTCCTGATGCTGGTAAGAGAGCACGCTGCTGCCTCAGATGGAGAGAAACTGTGAAAGCATTTTCTGAAATCTACAGCACTGACAAAACATAGCTGACAAATCCCAGGCTCCTTTGAGGCTGTCATTTTCTGTTTCTGGCCAACACCCGTCAATGAGCAGATCCACCCCATTCCCGAGCAATGGGACTCACGTGGGAAGCAGTTTTGGAGAATCTTCCAGGTATAGAATGTAACCAATATACATAGAACGCTGAAAAAGAAAAGATGCAATATTCTGATTTTGGAAGACACTCAAAATATTCTCCTAATCCCTTTAGCTGGAAAGGCTGGGCTTCTCCTAAGACACTTAATTATTTCACAGCCAGTGAGCATCTCCCACAAACCCTGCTTCCCTGTGTCTGCTGGGAGCCTCAGGCACACTGTTGCTGTCGATCTTATAAGTCACAAGGCAGACGCGTGTGTCTCACGCCTGCAACCCTCACACAGGCTCACCTCCTAGCCTCACTGTCTGAACTTGGCCCCATTTTCTCACCTGCTTATTTGGTATCTCTTCTTCTGGAAGCTGCCTGAAATGCTTTTTGGAACAAGTCAGAAGAATGACTGGGTAGATAAATGGACAGATGGACAGGTGAGAGATGGGCAAACAAACAGAGAGACTCTAAGAAAAGGGGAACAAAGAAAATTTCCTATGCAAAACCATCTTCTAGTCAGGGAAGAAAACCACCACGGAGAAGTGTGAAGAGGCAGGTGGCTTAGGGCTGTTTCCTGGATTCCATGAAAAGTTACACCTAGAGATGAGAGGGTAGAGCTATAAATAATAAAAGAAAAAAAGCACGCATGCTTGAAAAATATATCTACAATATGTACTTTCTAAAGAATAGATTCAAATCAGCAGGGCCCAATAACACAATTCTTGGGTATTTACAGAAGTGAGAATCCCATCTTCAATCCACAAGGCATCCCTTCGGAGCACTGAGAGTCTACACGGTGTGGTCATAAAGCCTTCACCGCAAAAGCTATGCTATCCTGCACTTACGAGGAATGAGCAGCTGTGCTCGGGCTGCCCTCGCGTGTCATTTACACCCCGCAGCACTTCTACGGGGGGGACGACTAGCGAGCCCCGTCTCTGCAGGACAGAAAACAAGTCCGGGAGAGGCTAAGCCGACCTACCAGTTCTCCATCTCACAGGACTGGTCACTCCAGATCAGGACTCGAAATCGGACCCACATTTGTATCCACTGTACTACA